TGTAAATCTCTGATACAATAGAAAACAGCTGGGTTCTCCTAACTACTTGTTGTCAGTCTCTTGCTACATATCATGTCTCTGGGAAACACTGTACCCTTATGGGGAAATTAGAGTGAAAAAGGCAAGTAATGTCTTAATATTATAAAAATAGTTTTGACCTAAGAGGGTCTTGGGAACCCCCAAGAGTCCCCAACACACTTTGAGAAGACTGCACAATGAGCTTCTAAACAAGGGATTCGTCCATTTCTTTTCCCCTTTGTCCCTCTTCACCCAAAGCCCCTAAATCATAGTGGAAGCTTGTTTCAGTCCTGTGATTGCAGTTTGCATCCTTCTACCCTGTGTATTTTTTTCTTTCTGCCCTCTTTTATAGCTCCTCCTATGTTCATACTTTACCCTTTCTAACCTGTCCTTTGCTGTGATGCTTAACTTCCCAAATTTCATACCTGCCATACATACTATTGTCATGTCCAAGTAGAGGCCTGTTGGGGTTTTCCTCAAGAAAAGAGGTCAAACCATTTGACCTTTGGACTTCAGGATCCTTCCTAAGGATGAAAAGCCTGGTCTCCAGTGTTACATCCTTAAGTGAGACCTTCCCTGACCTTCATTCCAACTTTTGCCTTTGATCTCCAGTGCTCACATAAACTCACCATAGCACTTACCACCCAGAATCTCGACGGTGAGGTCTCCACAACTAGGCTGTGAACAGCTTGAGGACAGGGACTGTCCATCATCTGCTGTGGCCCCTGTACCTCCAGGACAAGGCTCTCTTGCTCATCTCATGCCCACTGTTCATAGGATCTTCAGTTCATTAGCATCTTGTTTAGGGCCCTCATTCTTATAGTTGGCTCAGGGAAATCCAATTTTACTAAGCTGCTTTCACCAGAGACTTATTTCACAGTTGCTCTTCTATGTTCTGCTCTGTGTAGAAGGCCACACCAACCAGATTCTTTGGTAATTTTTAAATTAAGACTAACAGAAATGTTTCCTTTTCTATTTAGTTCTCCAAATGACAAGAAATCTTTTTGCTCAGTTGAAGGGGAATGGAATGGTGTAATGTATGCAAAATATGCAACAGGGGTAAGAACCTGTATTTTATACTTGTTTTAGGCTACGTTGAATTATAGCCTTCCTTCATCTGGAAATTTAAACACTGAGGCCAGCTCTGATGCCAACTCTTCAGGGAAATCCTTTTCCTTCCCCTACGTTTTCCCCAGCAGTACAGTGATTTTTATTTTCTCCTCTCTCAGAATTCTCAAATACACACACACACACACACACACACACACATATATATACTCAAAATATATGTGAAAAAAACGCTTGGCATACTGTATGCCAAACCCAGTAAATTGGTTTAGCTATATCATTAGAATATGTGGTATATTTATAAAAGTGCTAAACTAGTCTGTTTGTATACACAGCTTGACTCTTTTACAAGAAATGTATTTACTACCTAGCTAGCACCAGGAATGCAGAAATGATTAAGACAGTCCTTGACCTAAAGGAACTTGCAAATAGTACCTAATTAAAGTAGGGAAGAAGGTGGAATGGGATTAACAGGAGGAGCCAATGAACTGGATTTTGGACTTGGAGAATTTGAAATGTAAAAATGTAAAAAGCACTTCAGCATTTAACATTAGAAGTCATTGTTTATGGGTCAAGCTTTCCTAAGAGATTTAATACTGAGCATGTAGCACATAGCCACATTGAAAACCTCTGTTGAGCTTCTACCAAGACTTAAGATACACTAATGTTATTTTATGCTGATAGTAGCATATGAAACTGTTTATATGTTGTCTTCCAATGTGGGATTTGATTATTAAATCTGTTCAGGACTTCTGGGAAGAGTTGACTTTTCCTCCTAGAACAGTTTGAACAATAAAGTATCTACCTACCTCTTGTTTTTTTAGGAAAATGCAGTTTTTATAGATACCAAGAAGTTGCCTATAATTAAGAAGAAAGTGAGGAAGTTAGAAGATCAGAATGAGTATGAATCCCGCTGGTAAGAGAACTTTGCTAGAGTTGTTGTGGCAGTGCCCCTGCTAATGGCTAGGCATAGGCAGGGCTGGGTTTTAGAGACACAGTAGCACAGTGTAACAGCACAGACTAATTTTGAATACCTGGGTTCATATGGAGCTCCACCACTTAGTAGCTGTGTAACCATGACGGTAAGCTAAGCATCTCTTTGCCTTCTTTCCTGAAATGGGAACTACCTCAGAGTTGATGTGAGGACTAAATGAGATAATCATGTAGTATATAAATGATGTAAGGATATAGTAAGTATTCACTGTGTCGTTGGCTTATCACCTTGTGGTTTATACGAGAAGGCAGTGAGGTTTCCAGTAGAGGTGTGTACAACACCCTCAGGTTTTTTGTTGCAAAAAAAAATTTTTTTTTTCCTTAAAGTTCATCTCTAAGTATTTCAGTATGTATCTCTAAAGTGACTTTAAAGGGGTGCCTGGGTGGCTCAGTTGGTTAAGTGTCCAGCTCTTGGTTTCAGCTCAGTTTGTGATCTCACGGTTGGGAAGTTCAAGCCCCATATCAGGCTCTGCACTGACAGCAATAGAGCCTGTTTGGGATTCTCTCTTTTTCTCTTTTCCTTCCCTGCTCATGCTCTCTCTCTCTCAAAATAAAATAAATAAAGTGACCTAAAAACCACTAGCCACAATATCATGATCATGCTTTAAAAAAATTCCTGGGGCACCTGGGTGGCTCAGGTCAGGTCATGATCCAAGGGCTGTGGAATCAAGCCCACATTGGTCTCCATGCTCAGCATGGAGCCTGCTTAAGATCCTCTCTCTCTCCTTCTGCCCCTCTCCCCCCCTCACACTCTTTCTAAAAAAATTTTTAAAAAAAGGTTCCTTAATATCATCAGATATCTAGTTGATACTCAATATTCCAGTGGTTTCAAACCTAATTTTTTCCTTTTCCATCTGCATAGTAAAATCCAGATCTTTCAGTGGTTTAAGGAATCATGCACTAAAGTTCTTTGTTTAGCATATTAGGGTATTTCTTAAGTGAAGGAAGAGGATCTTAAACACCCAACTATGGTCTCTGACTTAACAGTCTGCTTGGCTGGACGGCCTGGTCCTATTAGTAAGTGGAAATCTATAGAAATCCATAGGGGGATCTTAGTCATGGCCACTTTTCTGGTTCCTAGGCATCTTCATTTGTACACTGACACTAGTCTTACTTAGTTGTCATCTTCTAGGCTCTGAGAAGAAGCCACATCTCTTACCCCGATAAGCCTCTGTTTCACATCTTGACTCTTACTCTATTCACAGTTTCTCCAAGATTTCATTGTTCAGGGGAGTTTTTCTGAAATGGAACTTCTCTCCCCTGATCTAATAACCCTTTTGGTTTATAATACAGGAAACTCAAGCCCCATGGAGAGGTAAACATACCCCCTAAAGTTGCATAGCAACTACAGGTCAAGCCAGAAGTAAAATCCCAGGTTTCAGTTCTGTTCTTTTTTCCTGTTGTCTCTACCATATCCAACTTTCTGCCCATCCTTTATTTTCTTCCTTTGACACTAACAGTGCAATCTTCCAAGCCCATTTCTCTGTTCTTTGCCACTTTAAGGAGATTGTCTGTGAACTATACTCAAAGTTATTTGACTTAAACTTTCATTGTGCTGTATTTAGTGAGGCTCTAGACTTTCATTCTCAAGTTTGCTAACTCCTTTGTCCGTCAAGTACTTAGCACCTTGACTTCTTTTCTTTAGCCTTTGGAAGGATGTCACTTTCAACTTAAAAATCAGAGACATTGATGCAGCAACTGAAGCCAAGCATAGACTTGAAGAAAGACAAAGAGCAGAAGCCCGGGAAAGGAAAGAGAAGGAAATTCAGTGGGAGACCAGGGTAAGCTTGTTTGGGTTGCATGCCCCAAGGTCCCAGCTCCTATTCCCTCTGTATCCTGAGGTATATAATTCATTCATTTCAACGAATGCTGAAGTGAAGGACCACTTTTAAATAAGCATGGCGATAAACAAAATGAGCCTTGGTCCCTGCCTGAAACTCATTTTAGTGTAATGGAAGAAAATATAAAATAATAAGTATAATTCTAGAAGTACAGAGCAAGTGAGTAACTGAATTTTCCATTTCTTTTACAGCTATTTCATGAAGATGGAGAATGTTGGGTTTACGATGAACCATTACTGAAACGTCTTGGTGCTGCAAAGCATTAGGTTGGGAAATGCAATGTTTACACCTGATGACCAGGGCAATAGGCATAATTAAGCAACAATCTTCCTTTGGGAGAACCTATTCACTCCCTTCTTATTGCAGTGGTTCCTATCTCAGGGATACTGGACTTTCTGATGCAGATGAACAATTAAAGCAAGAAAAGCTTCCCGTTTTTTCCTTTTCTGTGGCAGTTACAGTTTTGACTTCAGTCCTGAGAAAAACTTCAGGTTTTGAAAACAAGATGTCTGCTTTTTTCCCCAAACCCCATGCTTTGAAAAGCATTTATAAATCCCAGTCTTAAATCTTGCATACCAGTATGGCTGTTAAGATCTACATTTGTTTCCTAGTTCATATAATTCTGGGATAGATATATATATATATAATTACATACACACATATATAAATATATACCTGATGCCAGAATTTTCATAAATGCTCCAACTACTGTAAATATTCCTGAGTTGTTTTAGAAAATTAGTGCAATGTATTAAAATCAAGTGTTAGGAAATTTCATGGCCTCACCTATAACAACTTTTGTTTTGGAATTGGACTATTAGGAATTGGACTATTAAATTGTATCTAATGCGGGACTATAATTATACTCAGTGCTTCTTAAGGCTTCATAAAGTAATTTTTCCAGTTTTTTTTTAATGTGTTTCTTTTATTGTTTGGCAGCCTGGGATCTAAGAGTTAATTTACATAAGGACTCTCCAGAAATAATAGAGGATCTATTCTTTTTTTTCCACCCCACCATGCTATCCTCCAGAGTCTTCCTTGAACTCTCATACAGCACACATAGGGCTCCCAACGTTTTATACAAAAATATTTTATTGTTTTAGAGGGTTTGGGAAGAATAATTAGATCCCCCCCACCCCACACTGAAACAAAAGAATGCTACAGCAGCAAAATGGCTCATTCTGAAGGGCATTACAGAACTATCTTTATTTAAAAATACATTAAAAAAAACACAAAAAACCACAGGTATTAGCACCTAGCATTTAGGCACTAAGACATCGGTTACATAGGGCCTCTCAAGGTTCTCTTACAGACCTAGATCCTCCATCTGAGAGAACCAGGGCTTCTCATATTGCTCCTGCAAGCATTTTGGTCACAGTTGGTGCACCCTGCTACTTTCTCTCTGCCAGCTGCTATAGTAACCCTTGGTTTGTTAGTCATAATGTGGTGGGTAGGAGGAGAAAAATTCTATGATGGCAGTGCAAAATTTCAATGGCACTAGTATAACTAACTTCATAAAATACAAACACATTTTTAAATACACAATGCTTCAGGCCAACGGGACTGCAGTTTATTTGACTATTTTATGGTAGGGGAGAAGGTTAAGTGTTGATGTGAAAGCCCTGATGTCAGTAATGGGGATGGTAGACTCTACCAGCAAAGGAGAGGTTGGCAGGTAGGTTAGCTGCATCACTTCACAAGAAGAGTTTGAATCTTCACCAGAAGGGGAACCATCTTCTTCCAGCTCATACTTCCCAAATCCAACAACCTAAAAGAAGCCAAAAACTTGAGGTGAGAAAGGCTGACCAGATTTGGGCAAAGCCCTGTTAGAATCTTTGATACCAACCCCAACTCAGTGAATGGTAACTGGGCTAAATGACAGCTCTGAAAAGGATAGAGCTACAGCTTTAGTTAGCCATACTCACATGAACGCTGAGCATTTTACTTCCTGGTCCTCTATGAGCCTTGAACCAGTTGACTAGGTCTGACTTTGAGAATGACTTCAGTGCTTCAATCTTACAGGGGAAAGGGAAGATAGGAAAAAACAAAGCAAGCTATAAAAAAGACTAGCAATGCATTTTCTGGAAAGACTGTTATTAAACTAACACCCGAGGTGGATCTCTTTGGTCCTGCTTAGCACCTGAGCACATCATTTTATTCTTCCAGGTATCAGCTTGCCTTCAACCTTCCAGAGAAGGGTGAAAACAAGCCTCTGAGACACACCTTCATCTGTTTCACAGCAATAATTAACCCTGGCAAATAAGCAAGAGAGGGTAGCAGATGCTGTAATTATAGCTGAGTACCACACACAGAGCCAAAACCCACTACTGCCTCAGTGTCACCTCTCAGGTACATGGTAACTGTATATTCTAGCTTGCTTGAGAAAATATAGTAACAACTGAAGCAGGTAAAGAGAATTTCATTTTTGAGAGAGTCACAAAGTGCAAGCAGGGGAGGTGCAGACAGAGAGACACAGAATCCAAAGCAGGCTACAGGCTTGGAGCTGTCAGCACAGAGCCCCGACGCAGGGCCTTAACCCACAGACTGCGAGATCATGACCTGAGCTGAAGTCGGTCACTCAACCGACTGAGCCACCCAGGTGCCCTGAGAATTTTGTCTTCTAATAGGAAAACTGGAGCACCGTATGAGCTGGGCTGAAATCTCTTATTAAATAACTTTCTTGCCTCTGTGTCCTTTGCTAATTCACCTTATACAGTTATAGTCTCAGCGCTAGACTGCAAGTTCCAGAGCTTTTGTGTGTTTTACTACTTGGGGCTAGAAGCTGTCAAAAAGACCACAGCCAGAATCTGGAGAGGAATTCCGTAATGACCAGATGTTCTCAATTTTCTTTAAATAGAAAACCCCTTTTCCCCCCACAATCCTGCAGTGAACCTCAATATAAATACAAAATATAAAAGTATTTTACAAAAACAATATAAATACAAAAATAGATCTGCTCACTTAGGTGCTAGACAGGCCAGTCTGGAAACAGGATTTGATTTAGTAAAAAACCAAACCTAGAGAACACCCCAGGTTTCTCTTCCATACAATATTGATTTGCTTGGGATTGGGACTCCTATAAAATCAGGAGTCCCTATCAGAGCTCTGTCACTCAAAACTGTGTTACTACTACCTCATGGGCAAGGCGATCAAAGAGATACTGCTGTGTCACCACTTCGTTCCAGTTCCTGTCCACCTCCTCCCCAAGGTGGGTATCTTCACACTCCTTCAGCTTGATCAGAGCTGTGACCTGGTCCACCAAAAAAGGAGACCCGCAGGTATAGTATCACACCAGATGCCCCAGAACACACTTAGCCCTGGTTAGTGGCAGACCTGCTATGGTCCCTTTATTTGGGACCTGCAGCACGATGGGGAAGGATAAAGCTACGAAGACATTATGACCATGTTAAGGTGGGGGCTAAAAAACTCAAAATCTGGCCAGCAGGTAGCACTGGCAAGACTGGTATCAAGCTGTCTTACGGGCTTGTGTGGGCCAAGGAACAAAAGAGCAGGTCAGCAGTTACCTGGGTGTTGAATGCATCCTCAGTGAGGTTCTCGATCTTCTCCTCAAAGTTTGAAAGAAACTCCTCTATCTTCTTATCAACAACTTCAGAACTGAAACAAAACATCTTCAATTAAGAGTCATCAGAAACCTGGTCTCAAGCAGAATGCAGAGGAAGAAAAGGGCTAAGGCATTATTTCTAGGGAAGAGACTGAAGTATTTTCCTCCCAGGCCTCAGTACTCCCCTACGCTGAGGGAGATACAGGAGAGAACCCAACCCCTACCTCCAGCCCAACTTCCTGATATCCTCAATACTGAAGCAGTGACAACCCATGCTTGACCACCCCAAAGCTGAGAAACAAGGCTTGTTTGTAACTGGTTCTAGTATGAATGCTAGGCCAGGCATTCTTTGCTTTTGTCCTCAGACCTGCCTAAAGAGAGGAAACATTGGCAAGCCGTGCACAGTGACCACAGGACTTGAGTCAAGCCTTATAGGATCACCGGAACCACTGATCTGTCCTGGATCAGGCAGGCATCTCTGAATCACCCTCCATCCCCACCCCCTTGTGACTAAGTGAAGCAAACCCTATTTTGGTCAGAGTTGCCTGAGGTTTAAGGAAGCACCTATAGCCCCCACTCTCCAGGCCAAGAATAATAATAGCTGGGCCCATCTACTCACTTGTATTTAGTTGCCTGAGTCCCCACAGTGACAGAAAATCCTAGAATCCCAGATGTGTTCCTACAGGTAGGGTATACATGGTACCTACAACCAGAATGAAAAGTTCTATGAACGCAGGTAGTCACCTGGGCCCTGCCCTCAGAAACTAGAGGTAAGTAGGAAGGGTTTCTGCACATCTTTACTGGACCTGGAGGTCCTGAAAGAGAATCCACAAACGTATATGCATCTATTTCATTCTCAGGTTAGGGTGTCCACCCCCTCTCCTGAACTGAGGACTACAGGCTAGCTTTTATCCTTGCTAATCTCTGAAACTTGACTGAACTGAAAACCTGATCATAGACAGTACAAGATGCAAATTCTAGAAGTTGTCTTGACCAGTAGGTATGATGATGATGCTAAGGCATGGAAGGACCAGCGAGCTCTGAGGCTGCTCAGTCAGGATATCTGATAAACCTCAGCCTGCAAAGTAAGCCCCAGACCTTTATTTGAGCTCAGTGCTCTTGCCAGCAGACTTACCCAAGGGTCTGCTTGGTTCGAAGGAAGTCAAAACAAGGCTCTTCCATGTGCATCTGTAATTCAACATACTACCCATCAGCCCAACTCCTCCCAGCAGAGAAACCTCCATTTCTAACCCCCAAGTGTTCCACATACCCCAAGTCCATCCTTCTTTACTGTCGTCTTCCTAAATCGCCCAGGCCCCCTGTCCATTCTCATACCGGATGAGAATACTAAACATAACCATCTCACCTACCAAACAGGCCTCTGACCTCTCCCAAGTCCCTAGCTCCCAGGCATAAAGGCCAGTCCTCGTAGTGGGTCAAGGGCTCCTGAACACCTCAACTCTCCTTTATTACAACTTACCACAAGCAGCTCCATAAGAGTGTATTCTTTCAGACTCCTGGTACCTGACTGAAAGGAGAAGTTGGTCAGACCAACTGAAAATCCAATGGCTTATAGGGCTTTTTAAGAATCCAGTTATTCTTGGCAACCATTTATTCAGGTATCCATCCCACTCTTCTCTTCCCCCCAAAGAGTTGATCACACCCTCTGTTGCCATACTTGCAACAACTTTGTTTATACATCTGCCTTTCCACTAGACTGCAGGCCTGTGAGGACAGAAATCATGCTTGATCATTTGAATTCTTGGCCCATGCACAGGACTGCAGGCACACATGAAGGGAAGTCCAATAATCCCCACCCAACCTGCCAGTTCCTGCCCAAAGGACCTAAAGGATATAACCTAAAGTCAAGTACATGCAGTTCAGGGTCCTAAGGAGAAAAGCAGAAAATGGCATCAATGAACAGTATCTGGAGCTATTCCTTCAATAGGAAGGACATGAATAGAAGTTTTTAAGGCCACATACAGGGACCCAAACCAGTTGCTAAGAGAAATACCTAAGAGGCTGATACCATACTTGGAGACCACATGCTGGCAATCCTGAAGAGTAGCAAAATAATGCAATTAGAATGAAAGGGCAGGAGGCCAAAATCCAAGGATGTTGCTAGTACGTTATACAGTCAGGCTCTTGGAGGCTCCTCTGACACGTACTCATTGCTATTCCTTCCCACTTCACCAGAGGAAGAGGCTAAAGCCTGTGTGCCCTGCAAGTCCTGTTTAGTCAGGCAAAGATATTTCCTGTTTGCCTCTAAGAGGACTGTAGCAAAACTAGTTGAAACCTTGTATCAATTTCCAGTTTAAAATGTTGTCTGGCGGGAGGGAAGTGGTGCCCTAAAGAAAGCAGTTTGTTTTGGAAGCTAGTGCTAACAGGTGATTGATAAACACTTCGACAGACATGGTCACACATGGTCTTATGCTATGAAATCCTGCCTAAAACAGAAGTACTATGGTTTTGAGCAGCAGAAGCACTGGAAATGTGGACAAGGCTAATAAGCAGGGCCAGGCCATATTATTTATGAACTCTGGGGCCTGGTAGTCATTTCAGCTTCAAATAAGCTGAGAAGCTAGATGAAAGCAAACAAACGAGGCAACTATAGTCAGAAAGAGATGGGCTCTACAGACAAACTGGATCTCAATGGAAAGACTTAGGTCCAGGCCAGAAACACAATAAAAGGACAAAGTGACAGGCACTAAGGCCATGTAGCCCTGCCCAAAGCCCTGACCAGAGGGCTCTTCACAGGGCCTGACACAGAAGGGACTTCCTCATGCAGGACTTCAAGGAACTAGAGCAGCAGCTAGCGGTAGAAGCCCCAGAGTGTAGGAAGTCTGACATCAGTCTAGACAAGCACAGGTCCCCCATAGTCTTAGAAGTAAGTGGGCTAACCATAAGCTACGGACCAAATGAGATTATTGCGAAGCTCTACCTTATTTTAAGCCCAATCGCACCTTCCCAGAATGATGTGGAAAGAACAAAGGATCTGGGGGTGTAAGGAATAAATTCAAGCCCCACTTATATGACCTCAGGCAAGTAAGGGACTCTGGACCTCAGATTCATCATCCATAAAACAAGAGATAAATCCTTTATCTAAATGCTTTGAAATTTTTAATTGGAATTCTGGTAGTCATTCTTTTTGCTATATATACTGATTACTTGGCTATGTTTACTTTTGTCTCTTTCAAAACTGTCCTTTTAACAAATGTCCTCCTGCTGCCTGGGGTTGGTTCTGTCAGGGGAACATGTAGGAACTCCCAACTACTCTTCAGTCTCTGTCCCTCTGGCCCAGTGGTTGAAGGATTCAATGAAGCATTATGATTGAAAAAGAATCCATTTCACTGATAGGGGCAATTTTTAAATGCAATTGCTTCAATGGGGCACCTGGGTGGCTCAGTCTGTTAAGCGTCCAACTTGAGCTCAGGTCGTGATCTCACAGGTCATGAGTTAGAGCCCTGCATCAGGCTCTGTGCTGACAGCTCACAGCCTGGAGCCTGCTTCAGATTCCCTCTCTCTGCCCCTTCCCCGCTCAACTCTGTCTCTCTCCCAAAAATAAACATTAAAAAAATTTTTTAATGTAATTGCTTCAAGAAGACAAATGACTGCAAGGAAAAAACTAAATGCAAAATAAAGGGCCTCGAAAGTCATAGGGTCACTACTCCAAGGTACTCTGGACCTTCCATCAGGCTCTTAGCCATGAGGATGGCTGTGTGTAACAGGGCCAGCTGACCTGATAGTACACAGTGACTTCAGAGTTGGCATCACCCTTGTTCAGAGCTCTCACTTTGCACAGGTGGTGACCACTAGGCAGCTCTACCACCTGGAACTGCACAGGCATCTCCTGCTCCAGAGGCATGAAGTTCAGCTTACTGCAAAAGAATGAGTGTGGATCACTGAACAGTGCCTTTATCCTCCTACCCCCTCCCAAAAATACTATGAAGAGGTGAGGCCATCCAGAGTCCCTTCTGAATTGCTTTGTTTACATAACCAGCCTCAAGAAAACCTACTACAAGGAGTAGTATCATCTCCTGTGGATTTACTAATAACTGAGCTGTGGTTCAAGGCCCTCCTGCTGGTAGGAATATAGAACTCCTACAGAGAAAACTCATACCAATACTTACTCAACAACATATTTCAGGAAATCCACTGATTCCTAGGAAGCAAAAGAGAAAAAAATAACTGTATTGGGCACTTATAACATTAATTTCACCCTGAACCAACTACTATCAACATTCTAATTGCTTAAGAAGCCCTGGATAGCATAAGGAAAGCAGATATAATCTGCAAAATTCATCAATTGGGCTCGTCATTCACTGATTTAATATTATGTTTGTTGAATATTAAGTGGCTCTCAACTGAACAGCTTCCTCTCTTTTTTCCCTTTGGCATTCTGTTAACCTGTACACTGTGACATGATCAAACTTAACTGTTCAGTTAAACCCACTAAGCTGTGTCCTCTAGGATACCTGTGACTATGTTTTAGAAACCTAGGTCTATAAATACAGAACCTGGCATAGAATGAGCAAAAGAATAACACTTAACACACTAAGTGAATGCATCCTCTCCCAAGACTTCTGTTTTCTAACCTATAAAATGGGGGATAACTGAAGGGGTGAGCTCATCTTTACAGTGGTTTCTATCTGGGGCAATTCATGGTACAAAAGTTGTTTAGACCAAAAGGACCCCAGCCCAGTACTCCCACTGTGTTCAGAAAAGCAGGCAGCTATCCTGCTCTTCTCTATGTGGGTTAAAGCTTTTAAACTTCTTTCTGAGGAAAGGAAAAGAAACTAAGGCTGGTTTGGGGGTTGGGGGAATAAAGACAGAGAAGTACAGAGGAGACAGCAGTCTCAAGAGTGGCCAGTTACATATTCCATTGAAGGAACAGTCCTGAGAAACTAGAAAGCCATGAAGGAAGATGGTCAACAGGCAAAAAATTTAGGGAGAGTCCCAAACAAGCATTCTTGGCTGGAAGAGGCCTCAGGTAATTACAAGGTTCACAGACCTATCCCACTCAATATATATCAGAACAAACTCCTCATATGCCCCCAAACCTACTATTTTTCCTACTCCTCCACCAACCCACTGTTTCTAAAGCAAGAAATCCGGGCATCATCTTAGACTTCTCTCTTCTCCCTCACCCCAACATCCAATCAGTCACTGAGTTTTGGTCATCTTCTATCTCACTATTTCTTTTTCATTTATTTGTGTAACTTTGGGCTTTATCATTTTTCACTTCAACTTGTGTGTGTGTAATGGTAAAAGCACATAACATAAAGTTTACCATCTTAACCATTTTTTAAGTAAACAGTTCTACAGTATTGAGTATATTTACATTGTTGCAAAATGAAACTCCAGAACTTTCTCACCTTGCAAAACTGAAACTCTATACCCATAAAACAACTCCCCCCTTTTTTCCATCTTCCCAACCCTTGGTAACCACCATTCTACTTTCTGTTTCTACGACTTTGACTACTATGGATATTTCATATATTCTGGAATTATACTTCATGTCAATTCTTATAACAGCCTCATAACTGGTCTCTCTGCATCTTTCTTAACAACAAATCCCCATTTAAATGCTTCAGTGATTTTCTATTTACTACAGCATAAAACCCAAGCTCCTTGACACACAAGCTTGATATACAAGTTCTGCCTGTGTGTCTGTTTGTGTACACATCCCTCACCACACCCCAGATCTCCCACTTTAATCTCTAAATTAAACTGGTGTTTCCACACACACTCTTCAACAAGTAACCAACACCTTGTATTTACTGAATCATTTCACTCAAAGCCTTGTCCATTATCAGCAGTCTTCTTCATTAAGGAAGTCTTGCCCAGCATCAGAATGGCTGTGCTAGGACAACTCTGACCTGCGAAAACTACTACAGAGCTTCCCTTTTCGGAGAACTAATGCAATTCCAGAGCCCACAACAGCATTCAGACCTAGCTAACAGCAACAGAGCACCTCACACTCACTGTGCTTGTGACATTTCCTTGTACCAAGCCTTCAACAAAGAGCTGGGATTTGAACTCCTTGACAAAGCTCAGCAGAGACTCAAGGGAAAGGCCATCCATCAAAGCCCGGTACTTGTCAATCATAGACCAACGGGCATATTCCAGGATTAAAAGCCGTACATCTCTATATAGAGGGCAGAAAAAAGACAAAGTTTTATCATTTTGAAATGAATCTTAAGGTAAAAAAAGATTCTACAGATGATGTGTTTCTAAAGAGACACAATTTCTATCATAAGATGGGAGAAACAATGTCATAATCACCAAAAAGTATTTATAAAATTACATATACAAAATTATGCATAGATTTACTCACCGGTACAGCTCAAGTATCTCAGTTGCAAAATAAAATACTTCACATTAGGTTAACACATGAGTCACACACACCAATTTAAAATTATTACTATTTTTACTTCAACTCTCACTAACATTTTATTAATTACTAAAGGCCACCATTATGGGTATCTATTACTACAGTAACTATACAGTATAAGTAGTGGCTCTGGGCCAGAATCAGACTAACTCCTACTCCTCACCACCCAACTCCCCTCTCCTCACACTAAGCTATCTGAACTTGTCAAGTTACTTCACATCTGTGACTCAATTTCTTCATTTGTAAAACAAGGGAATAATAATGGCTACCATTATAGGGTTTTGGAGAGAAATAAATATATACATCTAACGTTTTTAGATTTAACAAGTAACAAATCTTCAATAAATAGATATGATTATTAGTTTACCACATTTTAATAAAGTAGCATTCAGTAGTTATTGGATACATAGGTCTATTTTTCATACTGATAGCTCTAGGCAACTCTCCTTTCCAACTTATACTTGGTTATTAGTTTTTATAACTTTTTGTGATAAGATTATAAGTTATTACAGATTTCTCATCTGCTCCCTGCCCTGCTTTTGAATTTTGTTCATTTATGGGCTCCTTATGACTATGTGAAAAGTAGGGCCTCTATATAACGTTGTGCTGTTTGTTCACCATTTATAGATGTCCAGCAAGGAGGTCAAGCCATGTGCACAAAGGGTGGTATCTACTCAGAGGGGACTTCTTTTTCCCCTCCACAAAGACTCCACCTGCTGATAGAGGCCACCCCAAAGGGGCACTTCTTCTGATTCACACAGAGGTACCTCTGGGCTACCATTAGCCCTAGACAAAAGAACAGGCTCTAATGAAAGGCTCAGGGTGTTATGAGCAGGAGGTTTAAGCATTATTCTACAGACTGTCAGAAGCTTTTTGCTATCCTTTGGAAACTTGGCTGAATTCTGGGTAGTTGCAGTTGCCAGATAAACTATGGATTAAGCAATTTAACTCAGCTACCTCATCATAATACCCTACATACTACAATCATCAGTAAAACAATTTTGAGTTATAACAAAGCCAGCATTCACCACCTTTTACTTACAAACTTTGGAAAAAGCACCCAGGTTGCTTGCCTTTAGCCTATAAATAAGTATAGTAGGCTTATTTTAGTCTTACTCACAAATAGCTACTTAAACTGGGTTCAGAAATCCTATAATCCAATGGACGATTTCCTAAATCATAGCCAATTCTAGTATGTCTGAAAAATAGCACTGAAACTATAGGATCATCCCCCACACCTAACCCCTCAGGAAGGCAAATACTTTCAGGCCTTCAAAATATAAGCTGATTCTGGGGCACTTGGGTGGCTTAGTAGGTTAAGCGTCTGACTTCAGCTCAGGTCATCATCTCACAGCTTATTGAGTTCGAGCCCTGCATTGGGCTCTGTGCTGACAGCTCAGAACCTGGAGCCTGCCTCAGATTCTGTCTCCATCTCTTTCTGCCCCTCCCCCGCTTGCGCTATGTCACTCTCAAAAACAAACATTAAATTATATATTATATAATATATATATGTGTGTGTGTATACACACACACACACACACACACACACACACACACACACACACACACA